ACTGCTAAAAATACAGTGATTTGGGAAAAAATTTTCATGAAAAAAGTGCTTCATCCACACTTTTCTTGTTTTAAAATGATCTATAAGACTACCCTCCATAAGTTTCAAGTGAAAAAGCAGTGAAATCGGAAGTGCTACAAAACGCAACAGCACCCATGTAATGCCTAAAAAGTGCCAAAGGAGAAGTTTCCTTAGTTTTTTGATGTTTTTTAAAACAAAGTCAGAAATGGATAAAAACGGTTGTCTGACTTGGCCGCTTGATCCGCCACTGGTATTATAAGCTTGCCGTTTCTATATTCTTGTTTTACCTGAGCTAACCTTAGGCAACTAATCACACGCAGGCTTGTAAGAATTTCTGCTTGATTTCACTAGTAGTTGGCACAGCACTAATTAAGGTGCAAGTACTGGATTTTCTAAGTTTCCCTATTTACCTTATTAACACGCTTTTATTCATTTTTTATTTATTATGTGCGTAAGAGACGAAATCTTTGAGCATAGTTTTCACCAATTTCCAGGAGTTTGATTAATTTGAAACTTCGCACGCGTATCAAGGTCCGATGACAGTGCAATAATTTGATAATAGTTTCCCATTATCCTTATAAGTAGTATAGTAGTATAAAGTATAATGTAGTACTGGTCTTGTAAACCAGGGGACGTGAGTTCAATCCTCACAGGAGGGATTGTGGTATACCAAGTTTGATTAATTTGAAACTTCGCACGCATATCAAGGTCCGATGATAATGCAATAATTTGATAAGGGTTTCCCATTATCCTTATAAGTAGTACAGTAGTATAGTACTGGTCTTGTAAACCAGGGGACGTGAGTTCAATCCTCACAGGAGGGATTGTGGTATACCAAGTTTGATTAATTTGGGTGCATTTCACTACATTTTCATAACTCTCCTCTCACAGATAGTTACCTATAGAATGATTATAACATTTAATATATCAAGCGCCCCACGCTTTTTCTTCTGAATTGAATTATTCTGCTAATAACTTAAATTTTATTATAATTTTATTTTCAGGTCCTCAGTTATGATTTACCATCCATTACTGTAATATGAACTCTTTGAAATTTAAAAAAAATTTCTACTTATGAGTTTGGTTAGCTATAGAAGCGTGTTTTTTAGTAACTATTATTTATTTTTATCTTTGTTTTCTAGACGATTAAAATAGAAAATTGATATTGTTATTAGCTGCTTTTTAGATACGGAAAATGTTTTGCACATTTTTGGATGCTCCGTGACATATAGACATCAAATCACCCATTTTTTCCAGTATCTCTGTTTGTTTATTTGTCCGGTGTCCTGTGAATAACTTTGGAAAAACGTCTGGGTTTTGATGAAACCTAAAATACAGGGTTATTATAATGCCAAAGAGAAAAGTGCTTTAGGGACTTCTAAACGAAGCTCTTTGGAAATGAGTTATCACTGAAAGACGAAGAATACAGAAATCATGGGCTCTTTTTGACCGAGTGGACAAATTTTTTTTGATTATAATATAAAAATCCAACTTCGTTTTCTGCGCTTCAAACTTTCTGGCTAGCATGAGACATAGTCAATTATTTTGGCTTGCTCAAAATTTGTGAGAAAACTCAGGCCTCCTACTTCACTTATAACTCCCAAGGTGCTTTTGTTTTGATTTGTTGCTGAGGAGTAAGGTACCTACCTAAACTGTATCCATCGAAGAAACAAAGTAAAATCAAACATATACACCCGTATTGCACGTGATCAAGAACTTAACCGTAGGAGACGCTACAGGGCCGTATCAAGCTATTGTGACTGATCTATCAAAAAATGTCGTACAAGATATGTGTTGCTGTAAATTCTATCAAAAGCATAGTAAATTACCACGTCTTTCTAATCATATTTCGACATTAGGAATCAGTCCAAAAAATTCTGTATTCACCATTTCAGCAAAATGTTACTAAAACGCACACGAAAAAAACTTGTGGACCATCTCAATTGAAATTGTTCATATTTTATTATTAACTTAGGTACATATATACCCAATAATATTTACAAATCAATCTTCTATTCACAATGCAGAGCAAATTTTTTTGAGCAAATAGAAACTACAGACGTAGTAGTAGTAGTACAAAAGTTTATTACAGACTCCATAAAGTTTGTTAGTTTGATTGCTATTAAAATTTACATGAGAAACAGGAAGAAGGTCAAAATGGCACTATTATGCTTTGGAACTCCTAAATTAACCTTAATTTTGTGTAATTATAAATTTGGAATTTCCACATTAATAACTAGAAACTTACACTTTGATTGCAGTCTATAATGAACTTACCTGTCTTGCCAAAAAGCCCGTTAAACTGCCAGTCTTAATGGTATCAATCGATTTATATGCTGTATTCCGAGGAGCTTGAATCATCAGAATTGTTGATGTCAATTATAAAGGGTTCAACTTGGGTGTCAATGATATTGTCCATATCCCACATTTTGGTTTCAACCTTCTCTTGGACATGGTCAATACATGTTCTCCATTTTGCTGTCGTAATTCTATCGACAGCAACATCAAACAGTTTTTTAAGGTCAGAAAACTTGAAAGTGCTGTTATTTGACGCCACGTATTGCTTGATGTCGGCCCAAATCAACTCGATGGGATTCAGTTTGCAGTGATAGGGAGGCAGCCTGAGAATCGTTTTATTTTGGTTTTTGGCCATTTTGTCAACAATTTTTAAATCATATTTATACTTATGTCGCTTGACTATATTTATCAGCTCAGCTTTGACCATTGTTTGGTCGAAGTCGATCTTCTTTGAGACAAGCCACTGTTGAATGTCTGCCTTTTTGGTGGCCATTGTTGGAATTTTTTTCAATTTTCTGGAGTGGTACGGGGCATTATCCATCACAATAATTGCGTTATCATCAAGTGTCGGCAAAAATTTTTTGAACCAATTTTCAAATGAGTTGCCATCCATTTCTTCGTGATAGTCTCCAGTTTTTTTGGATTCAAATGCCCACAATGCTTCAGGAACAAATCCATCTACGCTACCTATGTGGCAAATGATCAGGCGTTTTCCCTTGCCTGAAAGTAATTAGTTATTTCACTTCTCAGCGAGCGCACTAAATGACGAAATTAAGCAACTTACTCTTTTTAGGTTAGTGTAGGATAGAGTCTTAGATTAGTTTTTGTGGGGAAGAAAATACTCAGAAACTTGGATGAGATAGCAAAACTGAGTTCGGAGCTTCCAAATCATTGATTCGATCAGAAAATGAATTATCTGCATCCAAAAAACTTCATATACTTCGAAACTTACCTGCAGGATTTTTCAATCCCGTCGAAAGGCCATCTAAAAAAGCCTGCCTTGAGTACCTCACAGATCTGTCTGCCCAAACCTTTCCCTGCGTATGCCCCGCGTTCACCCATGTTTCGTCTAAATAATAAATTTTTCTTCCTTCAGCGCGGAATTGCCTAATTTTTCTAAGGTATTCTCTCCTCCAGATAACAATTTCCTCCTTTTCTATCTATAAACTATTCCTTCCTCTTTTCAAAAATCGAAAGTCTAGTTCTTTCAACAGCTTATGGAACGTAGATCTTTTAAAATTTGGCAGGTCCTCATCATCATTCACTTGCTTCAATATTTTATCTATTGTAGGTATTTCATTCCTGAAGAAAAAGTGATGTACTTTTCTTCTAATGGCACTTTTGTCAAAGTCATCTATTTTTCGATGATTTTTTTTCTCGCTGGATATGTTTTTGGCTCAGATAGTGAGTGATTTTGTCTATATTCCTTCAAGATTTTGTAAACACTTGATCGACCTACTCCAGAAATTTCAGCAACCTTACATACGATATTTTCTATAGCCAATCCACTATTCTCTTGCATCTGGTTCTTGTAGATATTTAGAATAATTTGTTTTTCACCTGCGCTTTTTAGCCCTTTTTCTGGGTGACGTTAAGCTGATTTCAACCACTTCATCAGCTGTATCTGTGTCAGACATTTTAGACTAATATTAAATTTCCGCAAGAAAAATCAAGTCAAGACGTGTATAAAACGTTCGCGCTTATAAACGGGTATCCGTAACTGATTACAATCCTGTGCGTGGTGACGAACAATCAACGTGACGCTGAGAGTTCCCTCTACTATGCAGCGTTGCCAGGCTTAATGTCACAATGATCATGTTTTATTGGGAAAATTGTCAGAAATCGCCGAATGTTGAACAGAAACATTACAAGAAGTCTAACCTTGAAATGTGCGGCTACAAATCGATATTCTTATAGGGGGAGAAGGGTAGGGAGCTGTTATGGTTCCTATTAACCTTGGTGAAAGTTGGAAACGGTAATATCATATATGGCATACATTCGCTTGAAGGTGTGTGCACGGAAAATAGATTGCGGATAGGATTTTAATAGATAAATCTGCACAAAAAAACACAAAAGGAGAGTTTTGTATTTCCCTGAAGAATATCTCAAGGTTATTTCAGATGTACTCATCGAAACTTTATGGAAGGATTATCGAAACCTTATTTTCAATTGCGATAGGGACACATACCTCGACATCGCATTAATGTGAAAAATAAGACAATAGAAAAAAATTCCCTCACTGATGCTATCTCTTAGGAAAAATTTAACTATAAAGATTGCACAAAAATTTTCTCCACCTTTTTGAGCTTGTTTTCGCATCTCCGCATATGCCGTTCATAATTTGCTGCAGATCAAATTGGAATATACCTTTGTGATGCCATTTATTGTTATACAATGTCCTTTACAACAGTTATTGCACGTATTGCACCAACAGATTGATTTGTGATCCATGCGAATGTGATCAACCACTTTGGCGAAAACTCGCCGAGCGTGGCAACCGTGCGACTTTGTCTGGAGGCTCGTCGCTACAAGCCAATCAGGAAGAGGCCGACAGAGCGCCATGGCTACCGATCACGCGTTGATCACGAATCAACCAATGTTTACGATTACTTTGTAGCTTCGTTAGATACACTTTAGTCAGCCTAAGTGACTCCATCTTTTTGTGAAAAAAAAACAACATCTGATTGATTGTTCGCATATATTTAGTACTCATAACACATGTCTTGTTTCATCTACAGGATGCTTCAGAACTAAGGAATCAAACTTCTAGGGGTCATTCTGTGTAACAGTAGAAAACATTCGAGTATAGGAACCCATATCCGGAAAAGTGTCACTACGACACTACGGCCCTAAGACGTTTTAAAATTTAGAAAGTCGATGAGTTGCCTAAATAGGATTTAATGCATTTAATTTTTGCCTTTTGTACATGATATCATCAAACCTGAACACGTCCATTTAAACGTCGCACATGATTTCGGCGAACTTGACTGAAAATTTGATACTCGTTTCAAACGCTACTGTAATTGGTCCAATTAAGTCTTGGTCTGTTTCTACTGGAGTTTCGTAAACCAAAGACTTTACTTGTCCCCACAGGTACGGTGTATTCAGGTTGGAGGAAGACATTTTGAACAATTGTTGTGATGATGTACAACATTCAAAAATTAAATGCATTAAGTCCTATTTAGGCAATTCATCGTCTTTCTAAATTTTAAAGCGTCTTAAGGCTGTAGTGCCGTAGTGACACTTTTCCGGATATGGGTCCCTATACTCGAATGTTTTCTACTGTTACACTGAATAACCCCTACAAGTTTGACCCCATAGTTCTGAAACACCCTGTATAGGTAGTGTATCCACCAGTATTACTTTTAGTTGGGTAGGTACAAATGTCATGCGATCAACCAAGCACACTCATGTTAAGAGTGTTGCAGGTACTTCTCTTGACGACGTAAATGCCAGTTACCATGGAGACGTGTATACTCGGACTCTGTAGTGCATACTTTTTCCTCTAGCGGATACAAACTTTAGTTTTACATATGGTTGGAACAAACCTCCTTGCGCTACTGAGATTCTGCCGACACTCTTTCCTCCAGAAAGATCAGTTGCCTACAAATAACAAATATCAACAACAATAGAAACACGTTGTAAGCCGCACATAGAGAGCATTTTACTAAAATAGTATTACAGGGTGTTACAGAGTGCGGTCAGGAAAGAACTGATTGAGAACGTAATCCGAAAGTGGTGCTTTCCCATAAACGTACCACCTTTGATAGTTTGTACGACATTGCTTTTTGCAAAAATAAGTGCAAGTGAAATCTGTCTTTCTAATGAACATAACAAAGCACTTCAGGAGTGATTAAAAAGGTGTCAACATGGTTGCTATTTTTGGATAACGGTGAATAGGTTAATAAGACGATTAATCTGAACGAAAATCTCCAAGGGGCAGATTATGCCAGGTTGCGTTAAGATACTGATACTATTTTTACCGGTAACATTAATGTGTCCTTTAATTTTTTTTCGCCGTGTATTATGGTAGCAGAATCGAGGCATTTCTGGACCTCTGTCTATATGTTTCTTCATATCGTAACGTTTATTGAAATAAATGAAAAAAAAAATCGAGCAAATAAAAAAAACTGCTGGCAATGTTATGGTTGTGCTGTAGAATCCAGCTAATTATGTTATCTGTTTGACAACAAAATACCTTATTCGTCAACTGGATGTTGCTTTCATGTTACGTTAACAATTAATTCAGTTTTTACATGAGGGAAGATTCGTAAATTTAAAAAAAAAATCAGTAGTACGAATAATAAAGTTTGGAAGGTAGTACACACTTAATACTCACAAGTATACAGAGGATTTGACTTCGGTATAGTCCGCCATATGGTGGAAAGGTGACCTCATGCAAAGCTCTCCTGAGAAACTTCCCTGGCTCATAAAGCACTATTTCGCTTTCCATGTCGTAGCACCTACATTAGTTAAAAAAAAACAAAGTTAGATCGGAAATATTTCAATCTTATAGAACATTCACTTTGTCACTCGATCTCGAAAATTACACCATCTCAGGCCATCTACTCGTATAAATGGACAGAAAACCATAACAGATAATTTGAATAGCAACGCATCTTAAGGTTTGAATTTAATTTCGAGTAGGCTCAAAGGAAAATATTTTGTGTTTCATTCAAGTATATTTGCAGAATCGAGATTTCCTGAACGTTTGCTCCCTATTTTTTCTAATGTACGGGCTACAAATGATACCGGGTGTTTCAAATTCGAGGTTCGTCATTGGGATTTCGGAAATGGTAAGAGATACGAAGTCGCGTATTTAGGTAACTAACAAAATACCGCTCAAAAAGTTTCAAAGTTTATTGTACGTTCGGAGAGAGATGGCAAAAACCGAATTTTCCCAAAATACTTGTGATTTTTTCCTGACTACTATTTACAGTGGATTTCAAAATAAATTGCATATTAACATTGCCACGTTTTCTCCGTTACAAGAGGCGTGATTAGAATTTCAATATGACGTTTTGTTTCTTGTCTTACAGATTCAACTTGATTTTTTATTATGGGTGTCACAGGTTTTTGCACAGGTGAATAGAGTCTCTAGATCTGAGTCCAAAAATGTATATATCGAGCATTGACATTGCCAAAACTTAGTTATCTAAAAAAAGACACAATTTCCTAAGTAGTGCTCGAAATTATCAGATAGTCATTCGTTTCGAATACCAGATTTATCGCAAAATAATTTTTTATTTTTCCTGGCATTACTTGAGATGGGACTTCAAAGTAAATAAAATGTTGTCATTGTAACTTTTTCTCCTCTTCAAGATGGCGTAGTCAAATTTTCAAGTCGAAGTTTCTTCTTTTGACTTCCATCACCAAGTTTGTTTTTTCATATGGACGCTATATTGGAATTTTGTACATTGTGTTTCCAGCCATAAATTCATTGGTATATTTTCTTGGCTCGTCGTGGATTTGCTGTTGAAACAATAATTATAATGGTATTAAAAACAGCATTGTGTAACCTGAACCGGAAACGGAAAAATTATTGATGGTATTAACAATGGTAATCATAAATAAGCAGATGTAAATCATATTAGATGTTCAAAACCTTGTTTTGTGGGCTATTCTCTAGAAATTGTTCACTTCTCGGTTTATTTTTCTTCGTCTCCCTTTCTCTGGAATAACTAAGGTTTGACATGACCAATGTATGACACATCATACACTTTTGGAATCAGAATTATAAACTCTATTTAGATGTACAGTAATGCGATATGGCATCTATAAGAAAAAATAAAGTTGATGATGGAGGACAAGAGACGAAACGTCATCTTAAAATTCTATTAATTCGAGCCATCTTGTAAAGAAAAAAATGCAGTGTCGCTAATGTGCTAACTATTTTGAAATCCCAATACAAATAAAGGTATGAAAAAATCAAAACGGTCTTGGAAAATTCGGTATTGCAGTACCTCTCGGGAAGTACTTTAAGGTTCGAATTTTTCTAAGGACATTTTGTTAGTTACCGAAATACACAACTTTGCGGCATCCAGAGGACTTTGTATATCTTTCCGTTTCCGAGATCCCAATGCTGACTGTCGTATTTAAAACACTTGATATAAATGAGCTGTTTTAACCGATTATTCTACATTTCCCTTCTAGGAAGCATGCATATTGCGAATGTGTGTCCAGTAGTATTACTTTAAATACATTATTTACACAGTCCAAAAAGTGAAAAACTAAGACTAAATTTATAAACTGCTAATTCCAGGTCTAGAAGCAAGAACAGTTATATCCTCATCATTTGATAATGTTTGAATGCCTAAACAATAGTGTATAAGTTCTAAAATAACAGAGAAGAGGTACTTACTCATTGATTTCCCATGGGTATGGACAAATTGTCAAATTAGGATTATCAGAATCGTCCCCCCAACCAAGGGTGGTGTTGCTGCAGTTTGCAGTTGCTACAAGAAGTGAGCAGGCTAATAGTGCTTTATGAACCATGTTTTGATCCTGCGTGTAAAGTGGAGATCAATTTGGTTCCTTAGGCATTTTATAGTGATTTGAAATATAATACAATGGACCATTATATGATTTTTATCGTCAAGTGGATTATCACATCGTCAGGTTTTAGACGTATTGCGATTCTAGTTAATTTGTCTGACTTGCAAAATGCGCTTTTTATACTAAGTGACATATAAATCCGAACACCCAGTTTAAATGGTTTTATTTTAATAAAATTTTGTATAAGTACTTAATGGAGCATAATAAGTAAATGATAAAAATTTCAAAATGATTGCACTGCTTTAAAGCCCTTTGACCTTTAATAATGTGTGGATGCACCCTGATGTGCTACGCAGTCTCCAACGCGCCTAGGCATGCTTCTGATCAGGTGGTTAATATCCTCCTGTGGTATCTCATTCCAGGCAACCACCAACTCCTCTCGAAGTGCTTCTAGACTCTGAGGAGGACGACAAATTGAGCAATTTCCTACCGCTCATATCCCACACGTGCTCAATTGGGAATAAGTCGGGAGATCTTAATGGCCATGGTAACAATGTGACATCATTATGTTGAAAGAAGTCTATTGTGACTCTTGCAATATGTGGTCGGGCATTATCTTGTTGGAAAGTTGGATCTGCCAGGGTGTCAAGATAGGGTAAAAGATGGGGTTCTAGAACATCGTGGATATAACGCTGCGCGTTCATGTTACCTCTGATGAACTCCAACAGTGTGATGAGCATGTCTTTCAACAAAAAACTGTGGATTCCTCCTTTCACCACGTCGCCTTCTAACCCCGGCACGACCATCGTGCATGCCTAAACAAAATCGCGACTCGTCACTAAAGACAATACTGTTCCATTCCTGATCCCAGAGTGACCGTTCTCTGCACCACTCAAGGCGATTACGTCGGTGTAACATGTATAATACTCTAAGGGTGGATTTCACAATTTAACAAACCATTATTCTGCACCAATAGGGTACGAGTACCAAACAGTCCGTTAAATATACCCAATCAGCCTCAAGATCTCTCCGTCAAATTTTGGGTAGCAAATAGCATCAAAGTATTCAAAACAAAACACTGTAAAACATGAAGTGACAGCTTGCCATTTAAATCTTTTCAGTTTATTAAATATAATGGAATTATGTAAAACTGAGCCAAAATTTCTAAAAATGCTTAATGTCTGAGTAAAATCTATTTTTTCAGATTAGCTGTGAAGGTTTTTCCATGTTTACTGCAACTTTTGTAATCCATATGTGATTATATCACCTACTGTGTGCTTATAGTTTATCCTATATTTGCAAACTAAACCCTTACATGAAAAAGCCTTTTCACTCAAATTTTTGTTGCATTTCAACACATTCATACACTTCTTTCCAGTTCCTCAACGATATTTTAACCCCACTGGTCCGAAACTGTTCAACAGTTTCAACATTCATACATACATTTGCAGTTGCATTTTTTTGTTTTAATTTCAGTGTATAATCAGTCGCACCATCGGTGATGGTACATTCAACATAACCACGTATTTAGGGGTTCGTGCAGATTTAACGTGTCCACGACAGTGTAATATGTATTTCTTCACAAAAAAATCTTGGAGGGAGCACTTTTATATGAAAATTTGTTGTTCAGAAATTCCATTTTTCACAAATAACAAAACAAGTGATCACAAAACATAGAATACAGTGATTGACATTTGAAATTAGTGTCTTATAATGTTAGTGATGGGAGAATACATTTGCCATCAGTGGAATGTATTGGATCGGTTAAAAAATATTAATTGAATCGTTTTTACGTTATCTCGACTGAAAGACTGGAATATCTGCTCTGTTTCTGTATATATATTTTTTGTGGTATTGCATAAATTAGTTCCTAGAACTGAACGCAACTTAATGAAACGAACTGGAAAGCACATAACTTTTTCAAGTAATCCAAGAAGGGACAAATTGTCATTTCATCACACTAGTGATGGGAGAATCTAAAGCCTGAGATTCGCTTTGCTTCTGTGGCTCAGAGATACAGTGCTTTCTTCTGATAAAACTAGCGCAGTTTTTGTGTTTAAAATACTCTACTTTAGTTAATACCTTTGATCCTAAAGTTGCTCCCATATCAATATTAAACAACTCTCATGTCGTGTCGCGTATTTCGAAACGATGTGAAGGGACGGCAGGGGAAAATCTTTCTCTGAGAACTGAAAATCATTAAACGCGCTGTTTTCAGTCTATTTTATTCTATCCCTTGGGGACGTACAGATTGAAGAAGTGGCTCAGTGCTCGTCTGTAATGATAATATTCAAATACTACTAAACCCCTAATTAGCTTTCTGGCCCTTCAATTTCGAAGCTACCAGTCCTCGCTTAGAGATGGTAGCACAGTTAAAGATAGACTCGGGGTATACGGTTACGGATGTTTATGATTCCTCTCGATATCGATATATCGTCATGAAACCATCGATGCGTAAAGATCGATGATCTACGTCCGATGTATCGATGTTTTCGATACATCAATGTATCGTCTATCGTCGCCATCCCTATATTGTATCCCCACCAGTCACCAGTCAAAAACCTTAACCTCCAATATTTTATCTATTTATAATTCTTTTTAGCTCTTATTTTTTAGTAATTACTAATAATTTTAGGTCTATGTCTACAGTAATTGCATTATGCACCTCGGAGATGTAGGGATTAACATGTTTTACACATATCGGTGTTTTGATTGCTTTGAAGAAATTCATTAACCCATGAATTTATAACAAATTATTACTATTATAATGTTAAGAGAGATGAGGATGTCGGAATACATTTTATATTCTATTTTCTTGCAAATCCGCACAATTCAACAGGTATTTGTTTAGCTATAATGATCACATATACACACACAGTATATTGAACTTAACAAATTCCGAGATTGCCATGAATTAACAAACGACCATACCTGCTGCCAAATTTAACAGCTAGAAAATCGATCTATTATTTGCCGCATTCCCATTCGCTGAGGGCGATAACGGATTGTTAAATGTAAACCTATAACATATATCAAAATACATGAAAGTTGTCCTGTTTTTTCTGTACAAAAGCATCATGTTGGAATCAAAAAGTGGTCTTGTTTATAATACAGTCGAATTTTCACGATGTTACTCAACATTTCAATAGAAATCACTAATATTCAGAGACCTTTGACAGCTTCTGTCAAATTGCATTTCGATAAGGTATTTTCCCATTGGTCCATAATATTAATGTTGGTGAAATCGGCCCTAAAGGGTTTATAGGGAAAAATAACTACAGCTTAACAAGATATATTTATTTACCTCATTATTTATAAAGTATATATTTGAATCTTGTAGTGTAGTCCATGTCCAGATAATGATCTTAGTTTAATTGTTAACCTTTTTGAGTAAAGTCCTCCGTCTAAAACTGAAACGGTGCCACCTTTGCCGTCTGCGGACAAATCTTGTATCTACAACATTAGAGAGTTTTCCAAAAGGCCGATATTACTTTGCTATTTGGAATCGAGGTAGATATGACGATTGATAAACATATTCTGCCTGGAGGTATCCAATCATATACTATATTCCGGTGCCCAAAAGGGATCTGAGAGGTACCAGCTCCATCTATGATCTTTGAAAAGGGTCAGCGTGTTTAGTTCTTCTACTAAATAATAGATGGTGCTAGGATCTCCAATGCCTTAATGCGCGCTTTTAATTGGGTACCTGCAGTCATTGATCAACGTATTCCAGCTAAAGTTAACCAAAACACGCATTTTAGAGGGGCTAAAAAGGGATTGAGGTAAATAGTGACACCTATGAGATAGTATCAGTACCAAATCCTTTGTAAGGTGGATCTCTGAATCCATTTTTGTGATGTTGCACTGTCTGATGGAAGGCATCAGTATCTTTCAAATCCCTTGAAATTGTGTATTGGCCGTTCAAGTATTACGTGAGCACTATGGGGGCAGGGGGCTCTTTGCTTTCCCTTTTTTGGATGACATGGGGGGTAGGGGAGTTTAGATGATGATTACGTCATCGGTAGTTATTTACTTTTTTACACGAATGGCAACCCTCACATTGTCTTTGTCTAATGTTTAAATAAGATGTCGTTCCACATAGACAAATACAAGTTATACCAAAAATTGTTTGAAGGTTTTAAAAAATCTCATACAAGCACGAAAGTACAAAATGTACAAAAGTTAGTTAATGAAGTGTGGCGAAATTACAAATTACAAGCAAGATCCGGAACTAGATATTATTGTATCTAAGAGAATCGAAGAAGAATTGAATCAATTCAATCTATTAAATTTTTTTTCTAAGGTGAGTGACGAAATTATTTTAGGTACCTATGAGTACTAGAAATATTAGAAATCGCCAAAAAGTTTCTCTTTACTGATTAGAAATTTATTATGGTCTATCTCAAAGTATAGAGGTAATATTCATTATATTATAGATTTATTTCTTATGTTTGATTCCGTCAATTGGTCAAGATGTACAGGATGTTACTTTTATACATATATATAGAAAACTAACACCCTGTATTTTGTGACCGGAACGAATTGCTGGTTTAAACATATTAGATTTAAAGCCATAGGGTTTTGTATTTACCATATATATTTGCATACTTTGTATTTATGTAGCTTAATAAGAGAATCTTTAGCAGAAGCCATAGAAAGTTTTTATTTTTAGGCAATCTGTAAACCTACAGAAAAAACACAAATTGTACAGTCAGCCTCAAATATAAAAAAAGAGGAAGAATATAAAACAAAACCCGGTAACGAATCACAACAGCAATGCGAAATTAATGAAAATACAGATAAACAGAGAAACCTTCTCAGGAAGCTACGAAAAATAAGATTGCTTTACTCGAAAAAAATCTGAACGCTTTGCATTCTGCCAGAGATACTATGTCAAGCCGCGCTGATGTTGATAAATGGATCATTAAGTTGGTCGAAGAAATAAAAACAGCAAAACAGTCTTTAAACAGGAAGGTTCAAAACGCAGTTGCCCAGAAGAAACACAGGGATGATATGAAAAGAAGGTTAGAAGATATTTGTTATGAAGATCCAGAAATAAAAAAAGACTATCTGTGAGGGATTCACTGGGCCGTCCTAATCTTGAAAGCAATCAACATTCACTATTGAAAACAATCTCGGATATAGCTTTATTTGGGAGTGCAGCAGATGATAGAAGACGAACGGAATCAATTCGCATGGTAAAAACTCTTGATGAACTCACACAAGAATTACGTAAAATAGGATTTGACATTAGTCTCAGTGCGACAGATCTTCGTTTGATTCCCAGAAAATCTAATTCTGCAGAGCGACGAAGACATGTATCGACAGTCCCTGTTAAGCTCATTCGGGCTCGAACTGATCACCACAAGAGCCACTTAGATAGCAAGTTCGCTGAAACATCAATCCATTATTTAGAGAACATAGCATCCATACTTGGGCCAGATCAAGTATTTTTCTTATCTCAAGATAATAAAGCTCGAGTCAATATTGGCGTAACTGCGGCAAATAGGCAAGCACCTCTTCTAATGCACATGGAATATAGAATCAAATTGCCTGATCACGATTGGGTAATCGCTGAGCGTCATAAATTAATACCATCTGTTTATGCTGGTATCATAATCACTTCCAATATGCTAGGACAACCGCAAGCCGTTGGATATTCTGGACCAACATACATCGCTATTCGATCTGGAAAGCATAGTTCATCTACTGCTAATACTCATGCTCAGGATTTCGAGACGCTTCTCGAACTTGATGAGTTTCGACCATTAGCTAAAGCTAACCATGGACTAGTAAAACCAGTGGTAATCATGACGGTTGATGGAGGGCCAGATGAAAATCCACGTTATCAAAAAGTCATAGGGTTTGCTATACAACACTTGACACACAAGCGACATGATCTCGATGCATTGTTTTTAGCTACCAATGCTCCTGGAAGAAGTGCGTATAACTGAGTAGAGCGCAGACTGGCTCCTCTTAGTCGGGAACTGGCTGGTTTAATATTGCCTCATTTTGGGTCTCATTTGGATGAACGTGGCGTTACAATTGATGAACATTTAGAAAGATCTAATTTCGAATTTGCAGGAAATGTATTAGCTGAAGTATGGAGTTCAATGGAAATTGATGGCTATAATGTTAATGCAAAATATGTTGGGGCAGGTGAACAAGATCTTCCTGATTTTCCAGACATTAAATGTAGAAATACTTGGTTTTGGATGAAGGATGGCAATTTCTTAATCTTCCAGTCAATTTAGCTCTACGCTTAAATGCTTCACTCAAAGATTTCCTGCAAATGCCCTACGATTATTTTTGTCCGGCGGTAAAATTGAGGCTATCAAGTGCAAAATGTGTGCTCTTTATCATGCTTCCGTCAAGTCACTAGATCGTCACATCGAAAATATCCATAAAAAAGTAAACACCCTCACTGATAGGAAAGTTAGACCTGTAAGAGTCGCTGCTCGTCGTGCTAATGAACTGATGTGCATTATTCAAAATTTAGAGCACTATGATGTTGAATGGCTCGATGAGAACGACGTAGACATTCCAAAATCCGATGAAACACTGAGCAGCAATCGAAGCAATCCAATGTCATCGACAACTTAGAAACTTGGATTCGGGTTTCATGGACTGAAGACTGTTAATTTGAATTTAATATATGTACCAAAAATTTAAAATAAGTTTGTTATGTTAGATATAATATTCTTGTCCTTTACTCTATGTTGAATACCGTAACAGTAAAATATAATCTCTATCCTAAATCTATTTTCTTATTTTTCAAATTATAATTATAACGTTATAATTATAATATTAAAAGAAAAACAATACATTAATTGACAAGTGTTTACGTAAGCATGGGGGGAGGGGGTAAGAGATTTGTTTACTTTTGCTGACAAGTGGGATGGGAGGGTAAATAATTGTAATAAATCTGCTTACGTAATACTTGAACGGCCCCATAATGGTATAAGGGATCTGAAATTATGATGTCTAGTAACAAACATTTTCTTACTTTCAAACGTTTACTATCTTAACTCCTGGATATGTGACCTCAAAATCCGTCATTCTGGTTCAGAATAACCCTAAGCTGAAAACTATGGCTAGTTTTCTGACATCTCATTTCCTAATCAAATTTTGAAGAAACGAGACATTTTTCTTCTAATGCTCATGTTCATCTACAAGCTTGATCAAAGTCGAATCTATCTAGTTTTTGTATCGTCTGTTCTATGCCGATTTAGATAACTTTGATAACTTAGGACTGTATATAAACCATTTATGCATGCTAATAGATGTTTTAACCAATCCATTCAGCGATTTTGTGAATAGGTGCACTTACCAGAATACAGGTGATTGGGTTTAGAAAGAACCCAGATTCTGGGTAGCTATATGTTCGTTCTATTGCCCCCCAATGACCGGGCTCATTGAGTTCTACGTCGACTTGTAATTGGTTATTTCTACGACACAAAAATAGTATGATTTATCGATCATAATCACTTGCGATCATCTTTGTGCGATCAAGTTACGTACATGTGGTAGAAAAAAACAAAAATATAAAAAAATTAATGTCGTAAATTTCTGTGTTGTCTCAGGAACTTCTCAAGACTATGGTTCCAGGTATACAGCTTGTTGCGGTAAAAAAATAAATAGTAAGCTATAGGTATTTGACTTTTAGCACAATTTGTAGAATTATAACAGTATAGTTCAAAAAAGCTATATCAAAGCCTTTATCAAAGTCAATAAGATCTACTTGTTGTTTGAGCTCTTTACCACCATTCGTTAATCTTCTAGGTTCTAGCTCTTTTTCGCAATAGGATCCTATAGTGCTCCTGTAGGTTTTCTAACATCGATTTAATAAAAGTGAACACAACCGAACATGCAACCTAAGAACTAAGAACTTGGTCATAATCGTATAATTATTGTAACATTGAAACATAAACACTGAATACTTCCACAAATTATTCCCTCGCGGCAGGTCCATTCTGTATATCAATCTTTTTAGATCAATATACGAGTATTTAACTGTTGGTTCAACTTACGGGTCACTCGGCTTAGGACAAATCACAATACTGGACTGGAATTCCACACCATCTTTGATTACACCTGCTCGACAGGAGCACACAGATAATGCAACTGCTACAAAAAGAAGTATGGCTTGGCTCATTGTTCTTTATTCTGCTATCTGACATGGACGTGTTCTAATAAATCGCTGTTCAGGTACACTAATTTGTAATACCGATATCTCATAATCGCACTTTTATATTTATTCTTACGATAACATGGAAAGAAAGCATTATCAGATTACTCCGGTTAATTTTTCTTATGGTTCTATTCTCTTAATCTGTTATTAATCTATTTTTTGTTGATTTATCAAAGTAGTAGTGTGTTTTTCATTCGTAAATACGTGAACAAGCAATTTGCATGGATACAAATATGGTCACCGTCTGGCCACACTTGCAGTACAATTTTTTATTTTACAAATGGTCACGCTATAAATGTAAAGAGTAGATGAGGTAGTCGGTCAGAGGGTCATACGAAATTAGCTTTAAGTGCGTCAAAAGTGGTAAGATGAAAGTGGCACAGTCAGGAATAATGACTATACCTGTATTATCGACTGTGGCTCTCAAATAATGTTAAGTTTTCTTTTCAATGATACTGTTGATTTTCTGTAAGTATATGCTATCTGACATGGACGTGTTCTAATAAATCGCTGTTCAGGTACACTAATTTGTAATACCGATATCTCATAATCGCACTTTTATATTTATTCTTACGATAACATGGAAAGAAAGCATTATCAGATTACCCTGGTTGAATTTTTTTGGCTCTATTACCTTAATCTGTTATCAATCTATTTCTTTGTTTATTTATCAAATTAGTAGTGTGTTTTTCGTTCGTAAATACGAGAACAAGCAATTTGCATGGCTACAAATATGGTCACCGTCTGGTCACATTTGCAGTACAATTTTTTGTTTTACAAATGGTCACGCTATAAATGTAAAGAGTGGGTGAGGTAGTCGGTCAAAGGGTCATACGAAATTAGCTTTAAGTGCGTCAAAAGTGGTAAGATGAAAGTGGCACAGTCAGAAATAACGACTATACCTTTTTATCGATTGTGGATCTCAAATAATGTTTTCTTTTCAATATTTTCTGTAAGTATATGTGTAGCATCTTAAGTTTAATTAAGGAAAGTTTACCGATTGTATCGCATTGTTGATTTTGTTATCCTTAAATTAATCTTCTTTGTTAAAGAAGAGTTTGTTCTTTATTGTACTAGATGTCACCCAAAGAATACATTTTTAATAAATTCTCTATCAAAACCCAATTTCCATGTTTATTACAGTTTACTTAGTAGTTATTTAAAAAAATATACATACAGTAAATATGGCCCTTATGTGTGAGCATATTTGCCTACTCCACCGGTTAAATATGTCCTATTTTCAATTTCTTCTAAGCTGTTGAAGATACTTTTTACCATTAAATGCATTTTTATTGTTTTGCCTTTATTATGTTCAGTTCTCGTCGCGTAAATAGAATGGATAATCTAGTACCCTCGTGTCTGACCAAACCCACGAGTTCAAAGCACGCACGCAGCGAAGGAAAGCAGCTCACCGCACCTGCCCCCCCTCCCCCGTTTGGCCTCTGACCTACAACCACTCATTCCTTGTACTCGTGCCAAACGTAAGATACGGCTCAAACATCAATCGCTGAACATAAATATTAGAGAACTGGACTAAAGGTTGGCCGAAAAATGTGCATTGTCAGATGGTCGTCCTCAAGGTTACATTCGTCGCGGAGCAGAATCAGAAAGTGGCGTGCAGGCCTCTTTTTCTGAAGGGGGTCACCATCAGATAATTGTCGACTCGATCTATTTTAGCTGCAAGTTAGGTGAATGTTAGTATGGATGCCTCACCGGCGTTGCAGACTGTGCCTGACACGACATTTGGGATAACGTTCTGACACTTTTGGCCTGTGATAGTCAGCTCCACACCAATGACGAATGAAGACGATTGGGATAACCACTCCATACTGAAATTCGTTGCTTGTGATGGTAACTTGTACTTAGCTTGTGATGGCTAAGATCCTACGACAAACAACAATACTGAAAGCGTTTGGATCAACAAAGTATGGTTCACAATACCTTCTCATTTGCTTGTGATAGCAAATTTCACCTGGTTTGTGCCTGCCTTTAGGCAGCAGCTGTAGCCGCAGTGGTAGTCGCTTCGCCTCTTGATCAGTCGCCGGGAGCTGTGAGGGTTCGAATCTCGCCCCAAGAGAAACTGTTCTCTTGGCTATGGGTATTGTGATTGTCCGTAGGTGGTAGACGGTCTCTGACTGTCGTACGCGGAGGTACCACTCAGCGGATCTCGTAGGCGGGGCAAGAATACTGCCTTATTTGTTGATTTGTTAGGCTTTTTGGTTTGAAGAACCCTGGAACTCAAGAACCAGTACATTTCGCGATAGATGTTAGAGTAAAATTAAAAAAAGGTGTCCTTGACTCCGACTCAGTGCATTCGTTATTTAAATCCCTTGATCGATCAGCCCAGGGTGGATAAAAGCAGCAAATCTAGAGTTAAATTAAAACCGTGTGCATTTATTCAAATTCCACTTTTTTAAGTGTTTCCTTCAAGGATATATTTATCTTACGAGCCCCCTCCCCATCTCAGTTGGCCCAACTATTGAAATCTTAGTTTTTTTCTTATCAAATACAAATTATAAAAATGTAGCAGGGCGTTACAGGCTTAAAATATTAACAATGAATATTTTGATAATACCTGTATATAGTAGAAAACACCAACTTTATCACTCCTAATCAAATTTGCAGCATAAAAATAACACATGTAGCAATTACAGCATATCAACCTATTCTTATTTCAATGCAAAATAAGTGTATAACGCATAGGTGGCTGTGAAAAATAAAAGCCATGACAATTGTTTTTATTAATCACAGCTGTCAGAATACGTTTAAAATAGTTTTGGGTAGTTAAGGTTTTCAAAATGGGTAGAGGAAAGGTTATTAGTGAGAAAATTTGGTTACTGATAATTAAATTTTTTAATTCTGGGAAATCAAACTCAGAAATTGCAACTTTGTTAGACTTACCGCGGTTCAGTGTGAGAAATATTGTTAGAAGATATAACGTAACTGGTTCAGTTAATATTAAGCCACGATATGTGAAAAAAGTAATATCACAAATGCCGACCGAAGAGCATTAAGAAGAACAATCGTGAAAAACAGGCGTACCAATTATTTAAAATTAAGTGCTCTGTGGAGTGACGCTGTTGGAAGGAGAATTTTGAGGTCCACAACTCATAGAGACGCCCACAAACTGGGATTTAGCACTTGCAAGGTAAGTTTCCTTTTAAAAAAAAAGTGAAGTAAAAATCCTAAAGTTGCACAACTTTTTTATAGGCCAAAGAAATGCCACTATTAACTCTACTGCAAAAGAAAAGTCGGCTTAGATGGGCTAAAGAATATAGACAATGGACACCTCAACAGTGGTGTGCAATACAATGGAGTGATGAGGCCCGATTCGAAGTTTGTGTTGGTGACAGTCGCAATAGAGTTATTCGCGAAAAAAATCCATGTTGACTGTCTGAAGAGAAAAGTGAAATTTCCAGCATCCATTATGGTCTGGGGCAGTATGTCATCAACAGGAGTAGGAAAACTTCATTTTATTGATGGAAATGTGGATACAAACAAATATTTGGCAATTTTAGAAGAATCGCTTTTTCCAGTGATGGAAGAATGTTTGACATCCGACCAAGATTTTGCATCGAGCCATACCTCAAAAAAGGCTATAAAATGGATGGAAGAAAATAATGTACCATTTTTGAAATGGGTTTCTAGCAGCCCAGGTCTGTCATCTATTAAAACTTTGTGGCACGAGATGAAAAGGTTCTACGACAACATCCTGCTCGTACAATCACCGAACTGAGACAAAAGCTTCTTCAAGAAATATGGTATTGTTTTACACCAAATTTTTGCCAAAACTTGGTTAACACTATGTCCCAAAGAATTTCAGCCGTAATAAAAAATAAAGGTGATGTTACCCAATGGTAATCTTTCAATTGTTGCTTTGTTAACTTCGCGCATTTATTCGCGCATTGTTTATTTGTTCAGATGTTCTATTAGTCATAGGTCTAAGTGATTTCAAATATGCATTTTTTACGGCTAGAGTGTATCTAAAATGTTTTCGAGAAAATAAATTGTTTTAGAAGTAAATAGTTTCGTCATGTTTATAAAGGCATATTTTGGTACAATTCTTGAAGTGGGCCAACTGAAGGGGGAAGGGGCTCGTATACATGTTGGCACATCAATATTTTGTTGTCGAAGAATAGTAAAAATATGTATATTTCGACTTTGTTTCTTCTTTTTGTAATATAGTTCTGTGAGATCCTCTTGAAAGTATCAATAATTATTCAAGTTTTATATGTGCTTTTACAACAAATCTACATCGCAGAGTCTGGACAAGCAAATTTGTTAGCCTTTATTTTCAGAAAATTTTAACTGTGCTACTTTTTTTGATACCTTCTTCAATGTGTGACTACTCCCCATTATTGGCAACAGAGTTAAGCTTACACAATATTCTTGTCTCCAGAAGAGGCCCTGTGATTGAAGTATGAGGAAATCAAGTTCCTTTTATTTATAAATAGGTAAAGTGCGTTTATGCCAACTGAGAGAATTCCAGTTTCAATAAGCCACCAAACCTCTACCCTTGAGATATATTTTTTGCAAAGCACCCTTATTGTTATATTCTGTCCAACATTAAAGAGCATTTTCGGGTCAGTAAAATTTGCGAGGTATAGCAAACCATCCCGAAGCAAGACGGGACAAGTCTAACGTTACATCTCAATTTTTATGCTTTGCTCAAGTGACCCATTACATGTTGTGCAATATATGCTAGAAGGTTCTTTGAATATTTGCAAGCTCAAAAGTACCGGGCACATGTACCAATCATGAATACGGTTTGCATAATGCTTGGGCACATAATAATAATGATACTAATAATAATCATAATAATAATGTTTATTTGTAAAATACAGTTAATCTCGAACAAAACAAATGAACCGGCAGAAGGCAGTTGCATGTTCGTGGGTATTTACTAATACGAAACATTGTCATTACATACTGATATATTTTGATATATTCTTAATTATTATTGAATATATGATTATACCACACATTTACACAAATTTATCCTAGGTATAATATACAGGGTGTTTCAGTTTATTGTTGCATAACTTCAAGATTCGATAGAACTTTTAAAATTAATGTATAAAGTCTATATAAATTTGGGTCGAAAAATGCGTGGCTTCCGAAATACAGGGTTTAAATTTACTTTTTAAAATAGTTTTTTTAAAATATTTCGAACAATATTTGATGTATAACAGTGAAAATTGATACACAAGTGCTTTTTGGTACGACAAAACGAACCATGGGCATAGTTTTACTGTAGACGCTAGAGGGCGCTCTCTACTGAACCTGTAGTGTATTATAATGACCGAAATTTTTTTCTTAGTGCAACGTTTTGCTTTTTGAATAAAAAACTGATTCTTCGCACTTTTCAACATAAAAAGTTTTCCTGTGAGTTTTCGTTATAGTTGGCCGTTTTTGAGATATTTCGATTTTTAAGGTTCGATGCATTTTTAACTATTTATGGGAAAATAATATTTTTTTTCACATTTTTGATTTGGGCATTACAAGTAATTAAGATGATCGTTTACATTGTGTTTTTAAACACAGCAATAATTCCTAACTCCAAATAAACACAAAAAAAACAGGATAATAATTTGTTTAATTTTCCAATATTATTTTTAACAAATTAAATTAATTATTTATAACTAAAATGCTATTGGATAGTTGGGACAAACATACAAAATCTAAAGTAGTTGCTCGAAATGTAAACCCAATTGTTCAATACACAATTCGCATCTACGAATGATCGAACGTGGTATAGAATTATTCAAATAAGGCCTTATTTCATCACATGCATTCCTGATTCTGTCTATTAGCATATCTCTTGTGGTTACGGGAGTCTGGTACACTTTTTCTTTTAGAAATCCCCACACAAAAAAATCTAATGGATTTAGGTCAGGGGATCGTGGAGGCCAGGCGACTGGTCCTCCACGGCCGATCCATCTTTCTGGATAATTTTCGTCCAGCCAGTTTCTAGCTATTCTCGAATAATGAGCTGGGCAACCATCAAGCTGGAACCAGGCCAATCTTCTTAAATCTAACATAACATCATCCCACATATTTGCATGTTCAGCCTTTAAAAATTCCAAGAAGGTCGCAGCATTTAACCTTGCAGGCAAAAGGTAGGGTCCAAATAGTCGACTACGGTAGATACCAATCCATATGTTCACACTAAATTCATGCTGAACATTTCTTTCCCGAACTACATGCGGATTTTCATGCGACCAAATATGTTGATTATGAAAATTTACCATTCCAAGTCTAGTGAAGCATGACTCATCGGTCCATAACACGTTACTTAAAAACTCCCTATTATTGTCCGTTCTATCAAGAATCCACTGACAAAATGTGATACTGCATTCTCCGTCCCCTGGCTGTAGTCCTTGCACAGGTTGCAAATGGTAAGGACGTCTATGGTCATTTCTAAGAACACGGTGAACATGGCTTGCTGAAATTCCCAAGGCACCAGAAACTCTCCTAACACTTGTGGTCGGATCTCTATCAAACTCACGCTGTATCATACGGGTAAATCTGCGCTGACGAACATTTATGTTTTGATCCCTTTGGAGATTTACAAAACTATTTTCAATTGTATAAAATAAAAAATGGCATTTTTATAAAACATACAAAAAAGCAAGTAAAAGAAACTGAATTTCGTGCATTCACAATTGCAAAAAAACGTTTCAGGTTTCAACAGACAACAAAACTAACTGTCAACTAATTGACGTTTAACCTTATTCTGATTTCAGTTTCAAAAATATTTGCAGGCACAGCCTACTTCTAAAAATTATCGAGATACTGACTTTTTAGTGTTATTTTATCATAAATAATTAAAAATGCATCGAACCTTAAAAATCGAAATATCTCAAAAACGTCTAACTACAACGAAAATTCACAAGAGAGCTTTTTTATGTTGAAAAGTGCGAAGATTCAGTTTTTTTGTTCAAAAAGCAAAAAATATCGGTCATTTTAATACACTACAGGTACAGTAGAGAGCGCCCTCTAGCGGCTACAGTAAAACTATGCCCATGGTTCGTATTGTCATACCAAGAAACCCTTGTATACCAATGTTCACTGTTATACATCAAATATTGTTTGAAATATTTACAAAAAACTATTTTAGAAAATAATTTTAAACACCGTGTATTTCGGAAGCCACGCATTTTTCGACCCATGTTTATATAGACTTTATGCATTAATTTTAAAAGTTCTTTCGAATCTTAAAGTTATGCAACAATAAACTGAAACACCCTGTATATATATATACAGGGTGACTTTGAAGTTGAGTCATTAATTTTCAGATAATGATTGTAGAAGGAAGATAAACCAAAATATGTGTGTAAAAATAAAAAAAATATTAAAAAAAAAGTTTGCTTTGTTTTATAAAGTATCCTCCCGACAAGTATTTCAGTGCGGACCTGTATTTGATCGTGAGGTCTTGGAGCACCGGCATGCCGTCCATATGGGAGGTCTTAAGTCAAATGATTCACGAACCCGTTGTACTACATTAACAAAGGCACGAGGGGTTGGTTGCACTCGATTGGGAAACCGATCCGCATAAACATGTGCCATTTTTTATTTCGTTTGAGCCACGCAACAGACACCACTACCGACTGACACTGACTGTATACAAGTGAATGAAATAATTGTAAAAACATCGTTCCAAATACTTTCGATTTTTTGTTTCCGATGCGATGAACCAATAAGGCGAATTATATCCGTTGTCGCCAAACACGAGCACATAATATTGTTATTGAGACAGGGCGGTTCTCAAACTTCCAAAGGGCTATAACTTTGTTACTTTAATTTTACCAGAAAAATGGTAAAGGAAAAAAACATTTCTTTTGATCAGATCTACTCACTGTTAAAATAAATGACTCAACTTCGAAGTCACCCTGTATGTATATATATATATATATACAGGGTGACTTTGAAGTTGAGTCATTAATTTTCAGATAATGATTGTAGAAGGAAGATAAACCAGAATATGTGTGTAAAAATAAAAAAAAATTAAAAAAAAATTTTTACCTTGTTTTATAAAGTATCCTCCCGACAAGTATTTCAGTGCGGACCTGTATTTGATCGTGAGGTCCCCTGTGAGGTCTTAAGTCACCTGATTCACGAGCCCGTTGTACTACATTAACAAAGGCACGAGGGGTTGGTTGCACTCGATTGGGAAACCGATCCGCATAAACATGTGCCATTTTTTATTTCGTTTGAGCCATGCAACAGAAACTATTCACACGCTAACCGACAGATACTGACTGTATGTATAACTGAACTGAATAAAATACTTAATTGCAAAAACGTCGTTCCAAATTCTTTCGCTTTTTTGTTTCCGATGCGATGAACCGGTAAGGCGGATTATATCCGTTGTTGCCAAACACGAGTACATGATATTATTATTGAGACAGGGCGGTACTCAAACTTCCAAAGGGCTATAACTTTGTTACTTTAATTTTACCAGAAAAATGGTAAAGGAAAAAAACATTTCTTTTGATCAGATCTACTCACTGTTAAAATAAATGACTCAACTTCGAAGTCACCCTGTATATCGGTGAAAAATTAAAGCTTCCGCCTTTTGTTGGGTACTTCGACAAAATTTGAGCAAAGAGGACTCTTTATACTTTTTTAATTCTCTCTAGCTTTCAATGGACTTTGCCATCATCATCAGGAGCTGCAATTACAATGATAACAGTAGCAACAAAAGTGTAAAATGAATTTAAATTGACTCAACTTACAGTAGTATGTGAGGATGTTGCTAATTGTTGTTTACGTATATATATATATATATCCGTTTAAATAAACTGAATTTAAAACCTTATAAGTTTCTACAGTTCTAGAAGTATGTAAGTTTTTGTCGAGATAATTTGAATATACATGCTGTCATTTGGCGCAGTTTTGCCTTGGTGCTTGTGCCCCAACATTTCGTAGACCATTTTCGCAGAGTAGATTCATAGTTATGCAGCATACGTTAGGTGAACTAGCTTTAATTCGTCCGGTCACAGACGACCGCTGGTTCGTGCAACTCCTGAGCATGGTTTAGGCTTGGTCTTAAATAGGACAATGAAGGAAGCTGAGCAATTATCATCTATCCAGTATAAGGTATATCAAAGCATGTCAACATAAAGTATCATCCATTACCATTAGCTTGCTGTCTGTTGGAACCGTTTCCCAGTTCGTGTTGTTAGCCAGGTTACCATTGTTGCCGCTAGATGCCGTCGATTCTGGTGCTATAGTAGATACGGTCTACTCGTCGTTGAATAGGCTAGTAATATACCAATATACAGCCTGCTGGTCCATTCTGGTAATAGATGGCACTTTGCGCTGTCCTATTTCGATATAACTTGAATGGTTTGTACGAAATAGAGGTAATAGAAATAAAAACTAAGATTTCACAAATATGGTTTAGTGACTTGAAATAAGTTTTCTATTATTATGAATATATTTGAATTCTGTAGCGTAGTTCATGTCCAGGGTTTGACCTGAGTTTAATTACTAGTCGTAATGCATTAAGTCCTCCCGCGACAATTGAAGCGGAGCCACCTCTTCCATCAATGGATACATCCTGCACCTGTAACAATAAAATATAATGGTTACGACAATTGACGAGCCTGCGACAACAAGGGCTGAAGCCACATTGATTGAAAAAAATGAGTTTTATGTAAGTTCTGAATCACCCTTTTTTCTCTTCTGTGTAATTTCGATTGTACTCGTATTTGAGGAAACTGTGATTGGGTGGCGTCAAACTTGAAAAACATGACGCAACTTCTTGTAAAAAAAATTATTTTTGAAATTACTGTGGGTTATTGCAAGATGTTGTAGGCTAAGGGTAATAGTTCTATGAGGCCGATTTATGGACTCCACGTCCGTCGTTGGTCGTTCGCGTTGCAGTTGCCGTTAGTTGTTCGATTTGGCCAAGTTTTAACTTTTGCAGTTGCAATGATCCTCAAAATCTAAAAGCGACCATCAGAAAAACGTTCTAAGATCTTGATAATTGACACTCGCAGACGGGAGCAACTAAACTGCAACGACCAACTGCAATGACGAATAGCCAACGGCGAGTTTGTCGACTTTTAATAAGAGTGTGTTTTGTAAACACGTATTTTAGATCTTAAGTGACATAACTGAAACGTCGTTTCCTTGGATTTGATCGACTCCCTGTCTACGGTTCACCTCGTCATAGTTGCGAAACCAAATTCGTGAAAGTCCTGTTGTTCCATTAACACTGCGTCAGTTGCGTTTGTCATTTCAAAAAGAATATTAGTATTTTCGAAGGCTAAGAAGGCTACAGGCGGCAGACATCAACTTATCCGGTGAAGAATGGCACAAGTTAATCATCACAAAATTTACAAATTTCTACAGGCACTGTTATTTGTTGTCTACGATATCCGATATGAATAAAGACTATTTATTTATTTACCACCATATAACATAGATCAATTACAGGTGGGAATACACCAAGATAACAAAGTAATGTAATACAGACAAACTAAGCTACATTTTTACACGTTGATTATGATATACAGGGTGTTCCTTAATGATATGCTAATATTTGAGGGTGTAATCTACATGAAAAATTAATGTTAGTTTGCTTTATGAACTATGGTCCAAAAATATTTCCTTACAAAAACTCCGGGTGTTGAAGTTTTAGGAAAAAAATGGAATTAATTAATATTTTCAGAACCGCTTCAGATATTCCACTGATATTTAGTACGTAGTGAAAGTTTATCATGTTGCATATTTTTCAATGCAAAAATAATTTTTAGCTTTAACAGTGGCGTGCGTACGGCTATTGACTTCGATATTTTTTAAGAAGGATATGGTAGACCAATGGTTTTTTGCCAAATAATTATTTTTGAATACACCGTTAAATTTAAACAAAAGATCTCTCTTGAATATTTTTCCTTCGATGCGCCATTTTGAGTATAAAAAATAAAAACTGTTCTATTGTCCGAGAAAATTAATGTAATAATAATTGAAGAATGCAATTTAGCAATAAATATCTAGTTGCTCTGGAATATGTCACTGGCTTTTGACATCTGACAAGTCTCATCTTTTTTATTATTTAGTTTTTACAATCTTGTCGCAAGACGGATTTATCACCAGAGATATTCCGATCGTACTTTGCCAGATAGCCGAACCTTTTCTAACGTTCATCGTCGTCTTGTTGAAACTGGTTCTGTCCGAAAAGGGACATCTGAAGGTAGACCTCTAAGTGTGAGAACACCTGAAATTGAGGAAGCAGTGCTGCACGAAGTCGAAGAACATCCTGAAATGAGTGCGAGGAAGATCGCTAGACACTTTAATATTTGCCACCAAATTGTATGGAGAATTTTAGTGGATTTTTTGTTATATCCTTACCATATTTTAAGAGGACAGGTATTACTTCCCATTGATAGGCGTGGTACCTTTTGTCAGTGGTATCTTAAAAACAAAATCCACAATTTGAATCAATGATTCTGTTCACGGACGAAGCTAATTTTTCTCGAAATGTTATATCCAGAATTTCCACAATAATCATTTGTGGGCAGAAGATCCCTATGCCGTAACCGAAACCCATTTCCAACACCAATTTTCGGTTAACGTATAGACAGGAATTATTGGCAACCACTTTTTGGCACATTCTTCTTGCCGGGACGACTTGACGGACAGACTTACCTAAATTTTCTTCAACAACAGTTGCCTTAGCTGTTTGATAATCTTTCGTTAGTAATAAGAAACAATATGTGGTACATGCATGATGGTGCATCAGCGCATTTCAGTGTAACGGTTCGTAATTATTTACAAACTGTTCATCCAAATCGTTGGATTGGCCGCGGTGGGCCCCAAGAATGGCCACCAAGGTCCCCAGACCTCAACAGTTTAGATTTCTTTTTGTGGGGCTATCTTAAGACACTAGTGTACACAAGTCCCAGTATCACTGTAGGGGAATTAAGAGAAAGACTAGTTGCTGCTTGTGATAGAATCAAAAACACTCCAGGGATATTTCAACGAGTGCCCAATTCCATGAGAAGGAGGGCGGAAGCATGCATATTAGGTGAAGGAGGCCATTTTCAACAATTTTCGTAATCATTTTGTTGGTTTTAATGTTATGTTTATGTTGTCAATTGTTGTTGTTCATTACCCCTAATGTGTTTAATTTTTCCAATTAAATTAATAATAATTTTCAAGTTAGACAATAGAACGGTTTTTATTTTTTTACTCAAAAAATGGCGCATCGAAGGAAAACAATTCGAGAGAGATCATTTTTTTAAATTGAACCGAGAATTCAAAAATAATTTTTATTTGGCAAAAAACCATTGGCGTACCATTTTTTTTCTTGAAAAATGTCAAAGTCAATACCCGTACGCACGCCACTGTTAAAGCTAAAAATTATTTTCGCATTGAGAAACATGCCACATTATCAACTATCACTACGTACTTAACATCAGTGAAACATCTGAAGCGGTTCTGAAAATATTAATTAATTTCCATTTTTTACACTTAAATATTCGCATATCATTGAGGAACACCCTGTATACTGGCACATAGATGATCCAACTCCGAATGCCGTATAGTGGTATTGCGAAACTGACGAAAAAAATAGTTTAACGTAACATCTGAAACTTATCCTGTGGTATTCAAGCGATAATCCCCCATGTTTGTATGGCTAGTCGCCACATGAAATTGACAATTTTTTGACATGATACGTGAATTTGATGTCATTCGTAATGAGGAGCATAATATAATGATAGGGTGCCTCAATGTTAGGTCGCTAATTTGCTCTTTTCATGATGTGAGGGACTGTGTTCTCACTCAAAACTTTGACATAGTTGGTTTCACAGAAACTTGGCTCAAACCAGACGTTTTTGAAAGTAATGTACAAATTGCGGGATACCAGCTTTTTAGGCATGACAGGGTTGATAGGCGAGGCGGAGGTATTGCCTTATATGTCAGAGTTGGCTTACGATGCTCAATGCTGGAGAACTTGCATGCAGAGGTGAACAGTGGTTTTGAACAGCTTTGGGTAAATATATCTGACAACAAAAAAAAGTACACGGTTGGAGTAGTTTATAAACCCCCCAGTGTCAGCTATAGAACTCTGTCGGAGCTGGAGGAAATGTTGACATCTATATTTCCAACATCAGAGGGTTTAATATACATGGGCGACTTGAATATTAACTTCTTTGATTGTAGTAGTCCTGAATGTGTCTTTGTCTCTAACATTTTTGAAGATTTGAATCTGCATCAAATAGTTGACCATGAAACCAGGATCACAAATAACAGTAGTACCTTAATAGATGTCGTTTTCGTTAATGATGAAGTTAAGATTGCTAATAAAGGAGTTGTGAATCTTCCTGCGGTGTCCGATCACTATCTAGTTTATTTTTGTGTGGAATGTGAACCAGCCGTTAGAGATACAAAATATGTACAGACCCGTGATTTAAGGAATATTGATGAGTCTCTTTTGAATGAGGTAGCGTCTAATATGCACTGGCTAGGTGTTATCGACTATGATGACATTGAATCAAAACTGCAACATTTTTACAGCCTTATTGATGATCTGCTAAATATATGCGCACCAATTAAAACCAGGAAGATATCAAAAGCACGTTGTCCCTGGATTACACACAATATTAAATTCATGATGCGGTTACGCAATAACGCCTATTCTAAGTATAAGAAAACTGTTAAGAACAATTTTTCTGACGAGATAAAAACTGCCAAATGGAACTACTATAAGCAATTAAGGAATCTAGTCACAGCATCTATTAGGCGCGAAAAAAAAGCATATATTGAATACCAGCTAAGAAAAAGCAAGAGTTCTCGGAGCTGGTGGAAAGCTATAAAGGAGCTAGGGATTCATGGTTCTAAGGGTAAAAATAATCAGTGTACTTTGGAACCCAACATATTAAATAACTGTTTTGTGGATTCAGTTCCCGATAACTCAATAAATGAAACACTCTTAGAGTACTACAACACCAACATGCTACCAAATATCAATGACCTATTTCAGTTTAAGTTTGTTACCGAGGAAAAAGTCTTGAAGACCTTTCAAAAAATAAACTCGCGTGCTACCGGACTAGATGGATTAAATATAGATACATTTTCCTATATTCTTCCTTTTTGCCTCAAGGCTCTTACTCATATTATAAACTTTTCTTTGGAACATGGTATCGTACCACTCATATGGAAAGCCGCAACTGTTATTCCCGTTGGTAAAACCGATAATCCCCAATTGCCTTGCGATTTCAGGCCTATAAGCATACTTTCACTCTTGTCAAAGATTCTAGAAAAGATGGTTTACGAGCAAATGCTAACACACATCAATAAATACAGCTTAATTCCAAATACACAGTCGGGATTTAGAAAAAATCATAGTACTGTGACTGCATTAATTGACATTTGTGATGACTACTTGAGAGCTATAGATAATTCCTGCGTAACTACAACTGTTCTGCTGGATTTAAGAAAGGCATTTGACTGTTTAAACCACAAAATGTTATTGGCTAAGCTGCACTTTCTTGGTTTTTCTGAGAATTCGATTACATGGTTTGACAATTACCTATCAGATCGACTTCAACAAGTTAA